TTCTGGAGCAGTGGATGCTGTCTGATACTTTAGATACTCCAGGGGGCTCATTCCCATGGGAGGTGCCAATCACAGGGGCAAGGTATACACTGACTAAGAAAGCTGCAGAGCAGGTATACACTGACTAAGGTATAACTGAGAACATACTGTGTTTAGTTGACTCTACACGGTTTCATGTCATTCATATTGCCCTACAGTGAAGCCACCTCAGACATGAGGATAACCTTAGACTCCGAGCGCCTGCCTCCACATCCCTAGTGCTGGGAGTACAGCACCACCCATCTGGCTTCAGACAGCACTCGGAAGAAATGATTTGATACATCCATTTGTACATTCACTGGGCAAATATTTACCACATTTCTACTACATGTCAGACACTGGGGTAGATGCCTGGGAAATGATTAGGAAGAAGGCCACATTGTTTGCGTGTCCCTTCCAAAAGAACCCAGTTACCAAGTACAGTCATGCATCTATGAGGACAGATTCTGAGAAATGTGTTCCTGGATGTGTTACTTCTGAAGAAATGTTACAGAAGCTAAGGCAGGGAGGAAATGACTAGGTGAGAGTCTTCTAACACCACTGTCTGTGTTCCCTGTTGACTAACACACTGTTATGCAGTGTACGCCATAGCTATACCAGCAGGGAGACGGCTGGGGCTCAGCTGGTGGACTGCTTGTCTAGCATGCTTGAGCCTCTGGGATCAATCCCACCACTGCACGAACCAGACAGGGTGGTGCACACCTGCAATCCCAGCACTTGGGTTGGGGAGGCAGGAGGATCAGGAGTTCACAGTTATCCTCAGCTACATATCAAAGTTTGATGGTAGCCCTGAGCTACATGAGACCTTGTCTCAAAAGAGAGGGGCACAGGAGGCTGAGTGTGGCAATACATGCTTGCGATCTTAGCATTTGGGAGGCTGAGGTAGGAAGATGGTGAATTCTAAGTCTACCTAGACTACATAGACCTAGACCATGAGGTCAGAGCAAGATGTGTTAGGACAAGATAGAACATTTGAGCATGCGGGGTCCTCATATAAATTAATCTGCAGGTCTAGAGACAGGTGAGCTGTGCTTGGGGGCCTGCAATGTGAAGAAGGGGTGACAGGTGGGACAGAGACATAGCCTACTGGTTAATGCCTAGGAGGACTAGGTGACCACATGGTCCTTGGGTGAGCAGACGAGAGAGAGAGAGGACGGTGGTCCTGGAGTGGGGACAGGGGCCATTAGCCACCCCAGTGGACAGTTGGGGAGAGAGCTGGCCATGCAGGCTTTCCCTTGGGAATGAGAGCTGGACCGAGATGAAGCCGCCACTTTGGTGGCTGCTGAAAGCCGTTCAGGGTCCCTGAAGGGTTTTGTTAACTGCCTGGTTCATACTTCTGGGTGCCTGTTGGTGGGCACAGAGTGAGAGAATAAACCTTGGCCGTAAGCAGACCCCACAAACAAGGGGCAAGAAGAAACGGAGAAGTACAGCTCCAGGCGGCATGGTGGCTGGCGCCAGCCACCTCCGGACCCAGCTCTTCCTGGGGCTGGCAGCCCTGCCCTGCCTGAGCTCCTGGCACTGGGCCACAGCGTACGTAGCTGCCATACCTGGCGCTTTCCCCAAGCTTCCTGTTAACGTGAGTTCCTGTCTCTCTCACGTAGAACTCAATATGTCCACAGGTCCGTCTGTCTGCTACGGGACTGCAGCCTAAAGCCCACAGACAAAATGAAGGCTCCTGGACCCCTGCCCGCCTGGGTGGCTGTCAATAAATGAGGCGCTATTGACCAGGCCTTTCCTGGAAGCCTCAGCCACAGGATTACCTCATCTAAGCAACCGCCAGCCTGCATGGCCCAGGTGGAGTGCGCTGGCCCAGCTTCCTAGGTAACTTGTCAGATCTGTCAGCCCACAGCACGTCTAGCATGCCGAGGGGAATGACCTACCTGGAATGTAGGTGTGTTTTAGTTGACCCCGATACACAAAACTTTTTTTTTTTTTTTTGAGACGGACTCTCCAGTAGACCATGCTGGCCTTGAACTTGATGTGTAGCCAAGAATGACCTTAAATTCCTGATCTTCCTGCCTCTGCCCACTGAGTGCTGGATTTTACCGCAGTTCCTGGATTTATGTAGCTACAGATCGAACCCAGTGCTTCATGCACGCTAGACAGGCACTTATCAATTAAACTACATTCTTGACTCCAACATAGTAAATCTAATTTAGTCCATCTTCAGTGTGAACTGTGAGCTTTAATTCTCTAGCTCTGGGGATCTCAAGCTTCCTAATGCTGTGACCCTTTAATACAGTTCCTCATGTTGTGGTGACCTCTAACCATAAAATCATTTCATTGCTACTTCATAACTGTAATCTTGTTACTGTTGTGAACCGTAATGTAAAGATCTGATATGCAGGAGATCTGATGTGCGACCCCCAAAGGGGTCATGACCCACAGGTTGAGAACTGCTAATAGCTCGAGCTTGGCGTTGTGGCACATACCTCTATCTCTAATAACTGGGAGACTGAGACAGGAGGATTGTGGTGAGTTAGAGATTAACTTGTGCTATGTGGTGAACTGGAAGCCATCCTTAGATATACAGTACAGCCCTGTCTCAAAGACCAAACCTGGCCGCTGAGGCGGCTCAGTGAGAACAGGGGCTTGTGGGACCTGCATGGCAGAAAGAGAATGGACTCTGACAAGCTGTTCTCTGGTGGACACCCATGCATGTGCACACGTACACAAACAAATAAACACGCGTAAAAATAAACAAAATTCTTCAGCCCGATATAATTATGGAAGCTATAAAAATATGTAAGGTCTTTATATATAAAAATATAACTTTAATGAGAAAACCAATCCGTTTGTGTTCTTTGGGAAACTGAGGCAGAAAATCACTTCAGATAAAGACTCCAACAGTCTGCCAAGTGATTCCTGAGCTGGGAAACTTCACCGGGGAAAACACGTACAAATGCCATTCTGCACAGAATATAGTTTTAGTTTGAAAACAGGAGCTGAGGTCAAAATGAAAGGAGGTCTTTGGTGAACACGGAATAAGAATTCCCCAGCTTGACAGGCCCCGGCTCTCATCCGGAACTCCCTTCCCTGTGGAATCCTGTGGAATCCTGCAGTGACGGCAGGAGCAGAACAACCCTCCTGAGCAGGAGGAACCGAGAGGACACTTGGAGAATGAATGGTATGGAAACGGCTGTACTTCTCCTATAAATTCTGCATCCTGGGAGTCAGTGTGAACATCCCATGGTTCAGAGAAAACATGTCTAAGATGTCTTACACATAAGAGAACCAAGTCGATAACATGTACAAGGTTCTGGGGGGTCCAACCCCCAACACTGAAAAGTAAAATAAAAGGAGAAAAAAGGAAATGCAGGAGATGTTCATCAAACTTCTAGCACTTGAGGAACAGTGTGCTGGTTAGTTTTTTTGTCAACAGGACACAACTTAGAGCAACCACGGGAAGAATTGCCCCTGCGGGCAATTGCATGGGGTATTTCTTGATTAGTGATGGATGTGGGAGGGCCCAGCCCACTGCAAGTGGTGCCACCTCTGAGCAGGTGGTCTGGGTTGTACAAGAAGGCAGCTGAGCAAGCCACGGAGAGTAAACCAATCAGCAGCTTTCCTCCACGGTCTCTGCTGTAGTTCCTGTTTCTAGGTCCCTGTCCTAACTCCTCTCAATGATGCACTGTGATCGGGACATGAAGGTCAAATAAATTCTTTCCTGCCCCAAATTGATTTGGTCACTGTTTTCTTACATCAATAGAGTAGCAAACCAGGACATGCAGTGTACCTTGAACACCAAATAACCCATTTATAATACAGAAGCTTCCTTGTGGGTCTTAGGCGTAGTCTTCAGAAAACCCATAATAACATACAAACTCTTACAGAAAACGTAAGGTCAGAATTTAGAACTCGGAGCATGATAAACAACTAAGGCAATAAAAAAATGGAACATGGGAAAGTATTCTCCACTACTATGTCATTTCTACATCCTACCCATTTTACAGAAGAGAAAATTGAGATCCAAGAGGAAAAGCAATACAGTTGAGACCTTGCAGCAAATCTCATGGAGGGAGACTGGACCAGAGAATTCCTTGTTTGGAATTCTGTTCAGAGAATTCCTTTTTGGTTTAGCTCCGAGAGAGAAGAGCCAAGCTTCTGGTGGCACTGAGTGGTGGCTGTCAGTGAACACAGTGCTGTAGACCAGGTCCTTGTCGGAAGGAATGCCGACACTGTACAGGTACAAAAGGGAAGTCTCTGCTTTGTCTGTCAAGGCATGTCTGTCTAATACGGGGGATGTCTGCACAGTTACCAAACAGGGCAAACCTGACTGCAGTGTGGGGGTGCTGTGCTTTCCTTGTCAGCAGAGGAAGATGTGACTTTCCCTCCAGGACTGAGCCAGGATCCATGTGATCATGCCCATCTGTCCTGACCCATTCTCAATCACATGGAAGCTGAGGAATGAGAAACCTACCACACTGCCCGAAGGGACTGGGATGCCATCTCCTTGTGGAAGCCCTGACCAGAAGCACTTAAACTTGCATGCATGCCTTTAAAAGAAGATGCTACTCAATTACTTTGTCACAGTGAACGGGGCTGTCAGCTTTAACCCTTCAGGAAAAGACACTTCCCAGGCGCCCCTGAGCCTCCGTGACGGAGGGGTGAAGCACACCGGGGTGCTGTCAGCACCCCTCCTAAGGTCCTGCAGGGGGCGCCTGCACTTGGGAGACCACTGCAGAGCACTGACCACCATTCTATATTTCCCCTTACACAGAAATTCTGGGCATGGCCACAGGCATGGGCTTCTGTGCTTACAAAAGAATCAGCTAGTGAGCCTGGGATTATACACACACTGCATTTTCCTGCTTACCCAAAGTCTGGGTTCTATAGAATTCACATTCTCCAAAGCCCTTGGTTTTCAGGGGAAGCTGCTTGGGTGACCCGTTCACCTTAGGATAACTCAAAACAGTAACAGTCGCAGTCACACCTGAGCAAACAGTCTCCCCGTCACTTACCTGGAACATCAATTAATCTCTTGTACACAGTCAAGAAGGCTGCCTCTGCTTCTTTGCTCCTTTTACTCAGTGCATCAATCTGCAAGGAAAGGAGGCAGGAGAGAATTCAAAATGTGCTGGGAGTTCATTTGCTTTGTCTTTCTGAGAGGCTCTTACTATATAGCCTGAGGTAGCCTAGAATGCCTACTCCTCCTACCTCACATATTTGCTTATGTTCTAGTTGTGGAATAAAAGTGGAGATCCCATGGATAAGGCTATAGCAAGTCACGGGCATGGGGGCAGTCAGCAAGGGTCTTAGGGAGAGAGCACAGATATACCCACATGGGACTCATGACACTGGATGGGCAAGCGGGGTCAGAATCCAAGAGGCCATCCCTGTACATGGAGGAGGATAACCTCTACCTGGTATACACCACAGGAAGAGGCTGGGACTGGAGGACCATTTGACTCTTTCTGGCGTCATCCCAGGACCATGGGAAGGGCACTGAGAAGTGACCAGTGGGAAGTGGAGCACACTGAGTCAGTGTGAGGCCCGGAGTAAGAAGGACACTGCGGGGTCCGGCAGGCACTGGGGAGGCTCCATGTCTGTGGTGTGTCTTAGGAACTGACCCAGGTGAGCTCGTCTCTCTCAGCCAATGTCCACATATCACAGGAAGGTGAAGTAGGAAACCCCGGGCAGGCTGCACACTGATCCCAGGAGCGTCACAAAATCAGAGCACCCTGTCATGCCTTTTACCTCCCACCACACAACTGCCAGGCTCCTGAGCAGCAAGACTTCACACGCACCAAATTGGCGCCAGCTCAGGAAGAGGACCTGGAATTACAGTTTTCCTGCTGCCTCACTCAGGATCGCTCTCTCCCCTGTGTCATTAAAGAGGCAGAAGATGGGTCTTAATTACAGGGCCTCTCGCCTGGGCCAGGCAACGGTCTGTTAAAGGCTGAGAGTAATCTGAGAAAGGAGGGTGAATCGCTGAAGAGTGGGGGACACAGCCTCCCTGGTCTCAGGAGGTCTAACACAGGACAGGCAGCGACACTGTAGACAGCAGCAGCTTCTAACGAGCTACGCTCCAAAGTCACCATCTCAAGTCACTTGTTAAATTCAGACTCTATTCTCCCTTCGTAAAAATAAAACTGTAATTTGAGGGGGCAGTGTCCCAAAATAATCCACAAGGCAAAATCCCCTTTCCTCATCTCTCCAGGGTCTCCTGTAGTCCATGCTGGCCTTGAACTTACTATGTAGCCGTAAGTGAAACTTAACTCCAGATCCCCCTGCCTCTACCACCAAGTGCTGAGAAAGGTATCCAATACCATGTTTGGCTTGCCTCTAGGATGGACTTCTTATGAACCTAGTTGCCTTTGAGCCTAGATCCCCACACTGGCTCCAGAATCCATCTCAGTACAGGTCAGGGAGGCACCTGTATTTCCCAGGTACTCTTACTAAGGGTTACTAAAGTGGCTTCTCCTGCAGCAGACCAAGCTTAGGATGCAGGGAGAGTCCTAGTTCCTCCAGTTCCCCATGGAAGTTGTTTATGTGCCTGAAAGGGAGTGTGCTGAGCTGTAACTCTAGAACCACCTATGAGTCCTCACCCCTGCTGGGCATGGTGGCGCACACCTTCAATCCCAGCTCTTGGGAGGCAGAGGCAGGTGGATCTCTGTGAGTTCAGGGCAGCCTGGTCTACAGTGTGAGTTCCAGGACAGTCAGGGCTGTTAAACAGAAAAACTCTGTCTTGAAAAAAAGACCCCCCCAAATGAACCAACAAACAAAAACAAAACAAAAAATGACTCTTAACCCCTCACAGCCATGCACATGGCCTCACTTAGACATCAGGTTCTGAGGTGACACAGTTAACTGAAGTCATTTCTGTGCACCTGAACCTTTATAACGGGGGCTGGGGAGATGGCTAGGGTGGTCAATTTGCCAGCACAGGACTTGAGTCTGATTCCCAGAACTCTTATGTAAGTAAGTAGGACACAGTGTGGCGGGCTTGTCACCCCAGTGAGGGGGAAGTGGAGACAGGAGGATCCCTGGAGCTCACTGGAGCTCACTGGAGCTCACTGGCTAGCCAGCCTAGCCTGCTTGGTGAGTACGGAGTTAGCAGGAGACCAAGTGAGGATCTCAAAAGGAAAGGGGAGAAGGGGCCTAAGAAACAGCTCTCAGGATCGTCCTCTGGCCTCCACCCACTGCACATATACCCAACACATCTAAATACACCCTCCTCAGCAAACACACAGACACACACCCATAAACACATGTGCAGGCGGACACACACAGACACACAGACACACACTCACAGTAAAAAGGTGGGGGGGGCACAGACATGCTCTCAACAATGAGATGACACGGAATCACCACTTGCTTTAGAATAAAAACTGGGCGAATTTCCTGCCCCATGGGTCCGCAGCCTGGTTTTGGTTATGCCTCGCACTTTTTATAAAATTGCCTCGCTGGGTTACTTTCACCTTGTTCATTTGTTTGTTTGTGCAACACCGGAACAGTTTCCTCCTCGCAGACGTACGAGGGAGACCACCACTCACTGACTGGCGGCTAGGGGCTGGGTGCTGCTTCTACAGACCAAGGAATATCGCCAGCCACTAACGTCTTCTCCAAAAGGAACCAGCCCTGTTCAGACTTCCCCTGTCCTTTTGTCTCGGGACAGCGAGGCAATCATTTCTGGGCATAGCCACTCTGACGATGTCAGGAGACAAATTCCGCGTTTGTGGTTCTAAGCGCTCCTTCCTTCGACTCCTCCACAAACACAGCAAGTTCAAGTCCAGTCCCAAGACGACAAGGGTAGGCAGTAGGTTTAAGTCAGCCATGAAGTAAGTAGATAGGAAGTTTTTTTTCCTTCTGTCTTTCCTTCCAGGACAAGGTCTCATGTAGTTCAGGCTACTCTTGAATTCACTATTAGCTGGGGATGACCTTGAACTCCTGACCCTCCTGCCTCCACAGGTATGTGCTTCCATGTTCAGTTTATTCAGTGCTGGGGGTGGAACCCATGATTTCATGTATGCTTGGTAAATGCTCTACCCCGGTTCATGGGGTTTAAGAGACTGAGGTTCTAGCTGAGGTAGCTCCAGTAGTTCCCTGGTAAGCCTTCCCAATGGTCTGGAATAATCAGGCCGTTCTGAGAATTCTCGCAGCCTCTCTGGGTCCCCTTCTTCTGCCTCTGCCCCTGGCGGCTGTCCCCAGCCATCTTTCCTAGGTGGCCGTTCTTGTCCACTGCTCACAGCCAGTGCTGTAAGCTGCAGCCCTTTCTGTTTGCAGGTTTTGGCCTGAGCCTTCCCAGGCATCCCCGGGCAGGGCAGAGCATCTACGCCCAGGCCCACTTCCTCTAGTTCAGCCCAGACTTCCCTCTGGCTGGCAGAGTTCCAGGGAAGAGCAGGGTTGGGAGGAAGTGCTAGAACTTTGGGGCTGACTGACTGACCAGAACTGCCAGCAGCTAGAGGTGGCAAACCCCACCTGCCAGGCTGAGCAAGCAAGTGATTTAGCATTGTCAAGTGACCTAACAGTGCCCAAACCAGAGAAGGACCAAGTGACAGTGACTCTGTTCCCTGTAAGAGCAAGCCTGCAGGTGTCTATGAAGGGAACAGTCCTTTTGTCTGGACTCTTTATAATTCAAAGAGGGAGGCAGAAAGAAACCCAATCCCAGCCCATCCTTATCTGTCTGTCACTATGTGCCCAGGCGGTGGCACACAGGCATGGCAGCTCTTTGGGTGAGGTCTAAAGGCAGAGTGTGGAATCAGGTTCCCAGGTTATACTTTATGGCTCCTTTGTGTACAGATGGGCCTGAGGTGGCAATTCTATCTACTGTTCCCACCCCATAATAGCAAAATGAACAAGAGGAAAAGACAGAGGTACCACTGATGACAGGACTAGGTTGGACCATGAGATCACACAGGCCTTGGTCACCCGTAAAAACTGTCCTGCTCCACAAGCTTCCTGTTCTGTTTGGGGCTCATCTCCTGCCACGCCTCCCCCTCCAGCCACACCCAGTCAGTCACTCCCTGTTCCTGGGAGTACCAAGCAATTTCCACTCAGCCTAGAAGGCGCCTCATTGGAATGTTCTACTGATCCCTGGGGCTGGGCTCACATCCACCTATAAATTGAGGCCACTCCCACCAGCATAGGGAATCGGAGTGTCCACAGAGCCAGGGCTATAGACCAAACTCCCCTACTCCAGGAGACCCCCCGCCCCCCCAAGACAATCCTTGCTGCAGCTCCCATATTCTTCCTGAGAATGGGAACCCACACTCAGTGAACAACTGTTTCACCTGCAGGAAAAAGCTGATGGTCTAGGAGTTTGTCTGCAAATCATTCCGAAGCTGGTTAAGATGAAAAGGGCTGTCTGTGGCGTAAGCATCTGTTTTTTTGGGACATGGTGTAATGATAGCCTTTGGCTGTCCACAACTACTGAAAACACAATTTCCCACCACACACATCTACGAATCTTTCTACAAACGAGACCTCCAACCCACCTCCAGCAACATGACCTGAGGCTTCCACCCCACATTTCTTCCTTTTGTCTTCTTATTTTGAGTCAGGGCCCAATGTAGCCAAGAATGGCCTTGAATTTGACATGTAGCAAAATGTGATACTGGATTTTTTGTTTTGCTTTGTTTTTTTCCTTTTTCGATGCAAGGTTTCTCTATATAGCCCTGGCTGTCCTAGAACTCTATTTGTAGATCAGGCTGTCCTCGAACTTACAGAAATCCACCTGCCTCTGCCTCTGGAGTGCTGGGATTAAAGGTGTGCACCACCACCACCCAGCTGATACCGGTTTTTTGATCCTCCTTCCTCCGTTACAGGAGTGCTGAGATTACAGTGTACACCTCCACACCCAGTTTATGCAGCACTGGTGATGGAACCCAGGGCTTTGTGCATGCTAGGCAAGCTCTCTACCCACTAAGCTTCAGGCCTAGTTTGTTCGACTGTACTTGACAGTTCTGAGTCTGTATCAAAGACTGTTTGTATTAAACACTGTGTTAGGCTAGTTCAAAAGGAAAGTAATAAAATGTTTCCAGAGTAATTGGGTTGTTAATTCCTTATGATGCTGGATTAATTTAGGGAGCTAAGAGTCT